ACCATGGATGAAAAGGGTGCTAATACCTTCCCTTTTCATAATCTACCCCCCGAACCCACGAAATATCTCAAAAGGTTTTTTGCTGTGCTTTTTTAACCTTTCCTTTAGGATAAAATAAAAAGTCGGTGGCGACTCTTGCTAACCGCACAAGTGCGAATACGAACGCAAAACCTCAAGTCAGTTCTCCCACCGTATCACAATGGGCAAAATGAGTTTGATTATAGGTTGTATGATCTTGGAGGGAAGAAGCTTATCTGCAGACTCTATGTAATACTCCTGGAAGACCATACTATTGAAGATATTGACAAGGTAGAGAATACTACACACAAGAAAAATATTAGTTTTTCTAATATTGATCCAGTTCGGTTACCTAGTCATATTCTAGCTGATATTGGTGGTGATGATCAGAATGATGAGCCATATGAATATGTTGATGATCAACAACTTGGAGATGAGGTAAATATTTTAACTAATGATGATGAAGGGGAAAGCGATATGTCACATGATGAGAATCTTAGTGAAGCTCCAAAATCATCTTAAGTTCAACTTAGGAGGTATAACAGGCAGAGATAATGGAAAGTGAGGGTTAACCCAAGTGTTTTTTAGAGGCCATGAAAAGTGATGAAAATCAAAAGTGGTTGGATTTAATGCATGATGAAATAAAATCATTGCATGATAATCACACTCATCATTTAATGAAGTTGCATAAAGGCAAAAGGGCTTTGGAAAGCAAACGAATTTATAGATTTAAACATGAGAGCAACTATAAGTCTCAAAAGTATAAAGCAAGATTAATGGTGAAAGGTTTCCGTCAAAGAAAGAGTTTTGATTTTAATGAGATATTCTCACCTATTGTAAAGATGTAATCAATTAGAACCGTGTTTATTTTAGTTACTACTCTTGATTTAGAGGTTAAGCAAATGGATGTGAAAATAACTTTCCTTCATGGTGATTTGGAGGAAGAGATCTACATGAAATAAGCCGATGGTTTTCAAGTTAAAGTCAAAGAAGATAATCCGTGTAGATTGATAATGAGTTTATATGGGTTAAAACAAGCTCTAGGACAATGTTATCAAAGTGAATGGTTCAATTAAGGGACCAACTCCTTGTATTGAAAGTCTTCCTGACAAGGTGGTGGTCAGGCGGTGTGTCCCGTTGTAGTGCCTTTAATGGCGGTTCAAGTGTATGTGGATGAAAGAGATTTTGCTTGAGGGGGATCATAGTGGATAGACTCACACTTGAGGGGGATATTATTGTGTACAACTCTTAATTGTTAATCCCATATTGCTTAAAAAATGGAGGTTGAACACTTTATAAGTGAAATGACTCATACACCTATCACCTTAAGGTTTTGGGTGAATATGTGGTGCCTCTTTCACTTGTATGTTCCTCTTGATCCAATGTGGATGCTCCCCTTGATGATCCAACATGCCCTACTAGCAAAATTCTTTATTCTTTTTGAAGAATTTTCGATCGATGCTCTCATCTATTTATGTTCATCTTTTAACAATCAACATGCATACTCAAGATTAAATGATGCCTTTTTTTCCACGAACAACTTGTTTGTACCACCCAACAAATTTTTAAACAAAACCATTTATTCGATGCCATCAATATTTTAATTAGCCGCATAACTTTTCCAGCGACTGCCCACGATACTGGTTACATTGGCGCTGGTATTAATAAAAAATTGTCAACTTTTTGATCAACTCCCATAGTTGAATCCCTTGACACTGAGACATTATTGTATGAGAAATGTTTCTTTATCTCTTGTGAATAGATCTTGAGTTATTTTTTTTACCAAATGCCTTTCTTCTCCTTTAATTGCAATATTTTCACCAAATTGAGTTAAAAATTATATATCTGAAAATTCAATCATAAACCCAATAGGTGTTTCCATTCATGAAGAGAAAACTTTACTCCAAAAGTATTTATTTGAGGTCTATAATACATATTTGAGTTGTTTAGTGGCATCAAACATACTACAGAGTTTATGGGTGATGATGCAAATTGAGAATTTTGCATATTATAACATATATGATTTTGCATGAGATGAAATATAGATGATTAAAAATTATATTAATAATGATTCATTTGACCTAAACAATAGTAACTTTGAAGTAATAAGATATTTATAAGAAAAAAGTAAAAAAATAAAAATTTAGATAAAATATTTTATAAAGTTTGAGTGTAAAAATTTTCTAATGACCTTTTTTATAAATGAATAAATTGTAAAAGAAAAAGTATAAGATTTAGAATAATAATATAATTTATTATTACTAGTGTTTCTATGTGAAGTAATAGAGTGACAACATGATGAATTCTATAATCATTTTCCTTATAATTGAGTTTGTCAGATTGAAGAAAGATGAATAAATTATCGTTGAAGATAGTGTGAAGTGTGTAATTATATAAACACTTACATATTATTAATAAAAAAAATTCTCTGTTAGTAAAACTAATACTAAAATGTGATGAGATAAATTTTTCTAAAGATATAAAAACAAGATATAAAAATTGAATTTTAAAATGAGGAAAAAATATAAAATTTCAAAATTTATAACGTATTTTACATTTTATTTAACTTCATATCTTTAATATATTAAAACATAATATTTTGTCATCTCTCTTAGCGCTTAATTTTTCTGCTTAAATCTTTTTTTAATGAACTATTCTTATATATATATTTTTAGGCAAAATATCCTTTTTAGTCCTTTAAGTTTACCCCAAGGTCCATTTTGGTCCTTTATCTAAAAAAAGTGTCAAACTGGTCCTATAATTCTTTCAAAAGGACCATATGAGTCCTTTCCGTCCATTTTGGTCCTTTTTGGTTCAGCCCATCCTTCTTTATTTTAATTTGTAACTCCATTATCTTATGTTTCAGCCCATCCTTCCTTTCCTTTAGATGATGTATCTCCATCTTTGCTCCATCAAGCTCATTTTGCAGCTTCTCCAATGAATCAAAAAGGATCAAAATGGACAGAAAGGACTCCTATGATCCTTTTGAAAGAATTATAGGACCAGTTTAACACTTTTTTTAGATAAAGGACCAAAATGGACCTTAGAGTAAACTTAAAGGACTAAAAAAGGTATTTTGCCATATTTTTATGTCAACCACTTATTCTCTTTCTCTTTTTAATAAATATAATTTAATTATTAATTATAATAAATTGTGAACCATTTTTAAATAACAATTTTATATTCCTTTTTTATCTCAATGACTTATTCTCTTACTCTTTTCAATAAATATAATTTAATTATTAATTATAATAAATTATGTTTTATATAGTTTACTTTTCAGCCACAGTGATTCAACCACCAATAAAATAATGCATTTCAATTATTTTTACAATGTCAAGTGAGATTTGATTGACTATCTCTTACTTTTCCTCTAGGTTCTCATTTATTTTATTTCAACTTTTTAATAATAATTTCAATTCAAGAAAATAAATAATTCTTTTTAATCTCCACGTGCAACCTTCCTATAAAATTTAATATGTTTTTTTCTCAAACCATTAAAGAAAATGTCCATGTTTTTTATTATATTATTTTAATAATATTATTGATATATTTATTATTTAATTAAATCTATTACATTTTTAATACATTTGTGACTCAATCATGTGATAATATTTATTAAAATTTTAATTGATAATAAAAACTATAATATTATTGATATATTTATTCTTTAATTATATTCATTATATTTTTAATTAATTTGTGACTCATTTATGTGATAATATTTATTAAAATTTTAAATCAATAATAAAATCTAAGAACTGATTTAGAAAATTTAAGTAAAAACATAATATATTTCATTATAAAACAACTAAGAACTGATTTAAAAATTTTAAGTTGAAACAAAATATATTTGAAAATTATTGTATTTTTAATTTATTTTAAAAATAACTTTATTCCAAGAATAAATGATTTTTTTAGTCTCCACGTTTAACCTTCCTATGAAATTTGATCTATTTTTTCCTAACTAATTAAAGAGACACGTCCATGTTTTTTATTATAATATTTTAATAATATTATCGATATATTTATTATTTAATTAAATTTATTATATTTTTAATAAATTTGGGACTCAATTATGTGATAATATTTATTAAATTTTTAATTGAATAATAAAACCTATAATATTATCGATATATTTATTATTTAATTATATTCATTACATTTTTAATTAATTTGTGATTCAATTATGTGATAATATTTATTAAGTTTTTAATTGAATAATAAAACAATAATATTATCGATATATTTATTATTTAATTATATTTATTAAATTTTAATTAATTTGTGACTCAATTATGTGTTAATATTTATTAAACTGTTAAATCAATAATAAAAACTAAGAACTAAGTTAAAAATTTTAAATAGAAACATAATATATTTCATTTTAAAATAATAAAAACTAAGAACTGATTTGAAAATTTTAAGTTGAAATTTTTTTTTTTAAAGTTATTGTATTTTTAATTTATTTTAAAAATAAATATAAAAAATTTATTAAATAATTTATATCTAATATGGTTGAACATTTGATTTTTTACAAAATCATTACCAAAAATTATTTTTAACGGTTATAATTACTATAAACTATAACAATATTTTTTAAAATGTGGATAGTGTCAATTACAAATTGAAAGATTTTGCTTTACATATTATGTAAGTGTTTTCAAATTGCTATTTTAATTCACTTTCAACATATGAATAATGGATTAGGTTATATGTTGTTATAAAGAGTTTTTTATATTCTTTTTTATATGTTGTTATAATGGATTAGGTTATAAAAGAAAAGACGGGTTTTTGCTTCAACACCTCCTGAAAAAGAAAAAGAAAAAAAAAGAAGGGGCTTGCTTGGGATAGGTTTCAGGCCCATATCCAAAGCCCATATTACCGTTTACCCGAATATAAACCCTAGTTTCTTTGCTTAACTTAATTTGAAGGTGCAGAAGGTGTAGCAGTCGCGCAGGTGTTGAAGACCCTAAGCAGCCATGGTTTGTGCTCTCTCCTAACCTAATCATCGCTCCGTCTTTACGTTCGAAACTCCGTTCTTTCTCACAATTTTGATCTGAATTTAATGTGCAGGGTATCGATCTGAAAGCAGGAGGTAAGAACAAGAAGTCCAAGAGAACTGCACCAAAGTCCAATGATATCTACCTCAAGCTCTTGGTCAAGGTCCTTTTTACGCCATTTCTCATCGTTTTTTGATAGAGGATGATTTTGAAATAGAAGTTTGATTCTACATTCATAGTCTAGTTTATTGATGTAAATCCGATTCGTTCGTTTTCGTATGCTTTGTTTGTTTTTGTTAGGTTTGTTTAGATCCGCTGCAAAAACAAGCATAACTAATATTTTAATATTTAATTATTGAATAATATGATTTGTTGGTTGTTTACTGAATTCTAACTTTGCTATTCTAACCCTAAAGTTTTTTGACGAGTTTTGAATATATTAATTTACCATGCCAATGCTGATAATTGTTTGATGAATATTTAAGTATATTATACTGAGTGAATTTGTCCTCTTTTTCAATTTAGAAGTTTGTTTTTTCATTTCATATTTGTTTTGAGATGTCTGTTTTTGTAATTTAGTTTCTTCCTATTTTGTTGAATTGGTTTTTATGTGATCAGCTTTACAAGTTCCTTGTTCGAAGAACTGGCAGCAAGTTCAACGCTGTTATTCTCAAGAGGTTGTTCATGAGCAAGGTTAACAGGCCTCCTCTATCTTTGTCAAAGTTGATCAAGTATACCGAGGGGAAGGTTTGTCATTCTCTGCAATTTTCATGTTCAGAATAATTTTGTTGTTGATTGATTTATCACTGTTTTAATTCTGTTTTGAAATTTATTTATGTAGGAAGGTAGAATTGCTGTAGTTGTGGGTGCTGTAACTGATGATATCCGTGTGTACGAAGTTCCAGCCATCAAAGTTGTAGCACTTAGGTTTACAGAGACTGCAAGGGCAAGGATTGAAAAGGCTGGAGGAGAATGCTTGACATTCGATCTCTTGGCTAGTATGGCCCCTCTGGGACAAAACACGGTATGTGTTAATGTCACCTTAGCCTCTAACAAATGAATCACCATAGAATTTAAGCCAGGTTATGTTGATGCTGAGGTTATTGGGAATTATTCATTAATGTAATTTATGGATGCAGGTCCTTCTTAGAGGTCCAAAGAATTCTCGTGAAGCAGTGAAGCACTTTGGTCGTGCTCCTGGTGTTCCACACAGCCACACCAAACCTTATGTAAGAGCAAAGGGAAGGAAGTTTGAGAAGGCTAGAGGAAAGAGAAACAGTCGAGGATTCAGAGTTTGATGTGATAGTAGTTTTTTGCTGGTATTAGTATCTGAAATTCCGAATTTTTCCTACATCCTAAACATTGTTGTTATTTTATGTTTGATGAATTTTTCAGTATGGAGATTTTATTCCTTGCTCCCTAATTTTATGTAGAAGTTTTGTTATGCCTATCATTTTGGTAGGCTACATTTGTTTTTTGTTCTTAACAAAAATTTGGTAGTTAGGTGATGCATGCTTGTGTTATAAACCTATCACGAATTTGCTGATTTTCAAATACGAAATGGGTTTAAGAAGAGTGTTTCACAAATATGAATTGTTTCAAAGGGGTTTATACAGCTTTACACTAAAATTTGTGTTGTAGATTTGAAAATCTCAAGTTTTCTTTCATTCTATTATGAAGCAAAAAATACGAAGTTGAGGGTCACTAAGTTTGATAAAATGTACACATGATAAAATTTAGATGGGTTCTTCTAGTGTAATACTTTTTTATCAAATAAAATTGAGTGAACAACATGGATATATACTTCATGTGTGAAGTAGGCAGTTGTGGATATAACTACCGTACTACTTTGGCAACTATAGTTGAGTGAACACTTTCAATGTATTTGTTGTTATTAAGGATTTAGCTGGATTTGGATTTTAGATAAGTGTTTTAGATATTTAACTTAAAAAGAAAGCGAATTTTTATAAAATGAAATTATGGAGGAGAAGAAAAATAAGTATATTACTTTTTGTAACAAATAGAATCAACTTCAATGTGATTTTTAATATTGAAACTACTCTAATGTAGAATAGAAAATTGAAAATAAATTTGCAAATGTGTAATGAGTACCTTGGTGTGATTGGTGTCTGACATCACTAACGAATTTCTTTGTCACCTAGAGTGGACAAGAGGAGTTCTCTAGGCAACAAGAGAAATTACCGGTTTTGAAGTGTTGTGACCTTTAGAGGAGTTATAGGGAGAAATCACTAAGGAAGGATGTACAGTACATGAGTTGGTTTGAGTTGAATTTAATCAAAAATAAGATCCAACCTAATTTAATCAAAAATAAGATCCAACCTAATTTAATCAAAAATAAGATCCAACCTATACAGGGAATATCTGTTTGAGTGAGGTAAAATAATCCCACGAATTATATAAGGAAGAAAGAGAAAAAATGAAAAAAAATGACTACCCACTATCCAACCCAATACAATTTGTGTTTTATCCAAACCATTATAAATAATGCATCACGTACTTTCTTAAAAAAATGCTCAAACCATTTTTTCTTAAAAACTGTTAAATTTATTACCACTATTTTTTATTCTTTAAGTATCAAATGTCTAAACCCACAATAAAATTCTTCATAAACATAAGTACAAAAATCAAAGTTGCATAAGGATAATACCCATGAATTGCATAAAGTATTTGCAACTTATAAGAATTAGTATCAAAATAATTAAAATGTGACATTCTTAATAAGTTAAAATCACGACCCATAAAATAAAAAAAATGTTAAAGAGGCTATAATAAAAGCAACTAAGATTACACATCAAAGTCTATCATTCATCAAATTATAAAAAAAAGCAAAATAAAATAAAATTAGTCACATGATAACCCATGGATTTCGTGGGTTGGATCCGAGTTCACCCAAAACTTAATTGTTTTGAATAGGTTTTCATTTTTAAAAACGGTGCTCATCCAATCATCTGATCGAATCTATTTTTGGGTCGGTTTGAGTGGGTTTGACAGGATTTTTCAAGTATACTCAACTCATGTACACTCCTAAAAATCACTGATAAGTTGAGAGGGATTTGGTGGTATTTGGAATACATACATTAAATACTTGTTAAGTCACTAAAATGATACCTTGGTGAGGATTTCTCAAAATGTTAGGTTCTTCAAAGGTTAGGAAGCCAAAGAGTGACATTGATGCAGAGGGGGAATATGTGCCTACCAGAAATGACATCATGGATGTTGGTTGAAGGTTCGCTTTCCAAGCCTTGAACTTGCCAAACCCGAAATTTATAGATGACTTTAAGAATGAATGGAAGATTCAAACTTAATTAAGGCACATATGCACACTTTTGGCTGTCACCCTATTACTAATGAAGTATCATGGTGGATACAATCAAAGTCACATGCCCATACTTATGATAGTTGTTTTTGTATTTGTTGAGAGGGTGTGGAAATGGTGCTGAAGGACAAATCAAAAGGTGATATTTCTTAGTATATAGATCAACTCCTATAGGTACATCAAGAAATGTTAGGTCATTCTTCTGATTAGGGGGTGCTCCTCCTTGAAGTCGACAAAATATTGTACAATCGATATGCCAAACATGTTCAGCTTTACACGAGTTCTTTTCTCATAGATGAGGTTCATGCTCTCTTTCAAAGCCTTTAAAGTATGAGTTACTAACCATATATGAATCACCCCATCATAATTACACCTTGTGAGTTGGACCTTTGTTAAAGTTTTTAATACTAGTGTGAATACAATAATAGTATCCCCAAATTAACTTTTTTCTTCCATATTTTTAATATTCCAATGACAAGTACTACATAGTCACCCCTTTTAGCCGCGATACTCTTAAGAATATTTTTGAAATTTAGGTTGGACACCTTTCAACTTTGTCCCAACATTCTTCAAGATGTAATGACAAGTTTCCAAAATTCTAGTGACAAATCACTCTTTAGTGGGACTGAATCGTACATATATATTAACCCATTGACTTATCACAAGAACGAAACTAAAGACTGGACTCACTGATTTTTAGGAAAGTCTTTACTTTGTTGAAGATGTGGGACATTTTGGTGTTAGTTCCCAAAACTAAGAAAACACCACATTGAAACTCACATGTTTATTAAGTCGGTTATTAAAGAAGATAGAAAAAATATTTTTGGAGAATAATGATGTCTATTGAATATTCTCATGTACTTCACAATTTGTTTGCGAAGGTATTTGGTTGACATATTTATGTAGGTAACATATTTAGAAGATGTATCAAATGTTGTTGAGATATCTTGGCTCGATTGTCCTCTTACAGGCTTTTTGGAAATATTTAACTTCGCTTTGTTTGATTGCAAATTTAATTCAGAAATATTCGATTTGGTTCAGGTTTATATTGACAAATAATTATTAAACGAAATCAAATTGAAAAGATTTAAATTGAATTTGTTTTGAGTAAAAGATTGAGTTTTGTTGAAGATTGAATTTTGCCTATTTTTATTATTGGGATTTTTGGTTGGTTCGATATCTCTATATAAAGAGATCATTCACTTTGTGGTAAAACTTTGAGAGAATACTCACGATATAGTAGAATTTTGTTGTGTAGAGTTTTGTAATGTCTTTCTTGTGTAAAATTCTATCGTTGCCATTCTTTTTTACTTAGGAAAGATATAGTTTTTGGTATGCACATGTGAAGTTTATCATACTTTAAATAATTGAAATTCGAAAATACTTGAGAGAGTGTTAGAGTAAAGTGAGAGAATCTCAAATTTACGAGGATTTTGAGTTGAAATTCATGGATAATATTAAGAAAGTGACACAGAACTAGATGTGTTCAGATGAAACTGTCGTGTATTATTGACTACCTGTAATTAGTGATTTTTCTTTCCTTTGAGCTGCAACCCTCCATAGAAGGTAATGCTTGTACCTAACTTGGTTACCAATTCTCAGTGTCTCTTATTTATTATTTATTTAATTATTCATCGATTATTTTAGACCATCTTCTCCCACATATTGTCTCAACATTATGTGCGACAACTTGTTACTAATCAAATAAAATTTCAATCGACATCAGATCATATAACATGTTTTGGCTATTTGTCATTTAATGTTAAATGTTTCTTTGCAAGACGCGTGTGATTTGTAGATCTTGGAACTTATGATGTTTTTGTCTTATGATTAAAAATAATATTGATTTTTTTAAAAATTCGGATGGATTAATAATTTATTTTAAAAAACCAACCCGTACTTATATTGGTATTGTCACATCCTTATTAAACCCATATTTTCGGGTTTTATCTGATTTAGGGTTAGATTCTGATTTATAAATTTGATGCGATCTAGTGTTGAAATTAAGTTTGAATTACAATAAACTTGTCCCCACCCATCCTTTATACACCCCTAAATAGTTTGAAAAAAATTAATTTCCCTTCAAATACTTCATACTGTTTCAAATTGCGAAACTTCAATAATGCAAAATTATTTTTTAAATACTCAATCGCACATTTATAAATTTAAATTTTTTTAAAATCACTACTCCAAACATTAATTTATAAATGGGGAACACTAAACTACTATCCCGGGGCACTCACTAATGTTAGTGCGTGAGACACTTTTAGCGAGGAGAGAATAAGGAAATAAAGATTTGTATTATTGAATTGTACAAATAATGATACAAACTAGGACTATTTATATACAACCCTAATTGGGTTTGGGTCTACACAACTTGGATTATATTTAAATATTAAATTTAATCAAATCTAATCTATTATTTTAACAAATATAATATAATATTTTAACGCACTCCCATAATCCAAGTTGTCGAACATCCTCAAAAATAGTCAATCTGAACTATTCCTAATTTCTTTTTCAAATTCAAGAATCTGTCAATCTTCAATCATTTGGTGAAGATGTCGACCAACTGTGCTTCACTTGAGCAATGCCTAACTTCAAATTCACCTCGATTTACCTTTTCCCTTAAGAAGTGAAATCTAGCTTTAATATGCTTACTCCTTCCATGCAGAACTTGATTCTTTGCCAAATTTATGGCTGACTTGTTATCGATTTGCAACACTAAAGGTTTCTTTACTTCGACAACCATTTCTTCAAGTACTTATCTGACCCAAATTGCTTGACAAGAAGTATAGTATCCTGTTATATATTCAGCTTCGCAAGATGACAATGCCACTACAAGTTACTTCTTCGAACACCATGATATTAGAGCACTAAAAATTTGAAAAAAAATGTCCATTGTGCTTCTTCGATCTTCCTTATCTCCACACCAATAAGCATCTGAAAAACAATTAACTA